TAGAAATAAAATTGTATTTTTCTGGTGTTTAAAAATTAGTTAATGCAATAGTTTAAGCCATTTTTTTAAATACTTTTTACTTTTTTACTTCTTATGCTTGTACACTAGTACACGCTCACCCCTTTTTTTTAAAGTAGTTAGATTATTTAATTAATTCCGCCCCAATAGTCGCTTCGACTAAATTAGATATTATACGTAATTGCTAGACAGCATAAATAACATCTAGATTAATTACTTCGGCTAGAGCATGTATACCCGATAGGCACGCAAACCAAATTAATAAAGAAAAATAAAAGTTACTTACGTACCCACATAAAAGCTTAAAATATTAATTTCTAACATGTCACTCGGTCTTCTGTTGCCGAAATTAATTTTGGCTAAATTGGCGCAAATGCCACCACGTAATACTTTTTGGCATTGTATTAATTTCTTATTCGCGATCAAACCGCACACGGTCCTCGAACTTGAACGCGATGGCGCAATCTGGCAATTTAGTGATTTAAACTTCAAATGCAAAGCTCTGCGGCTAACCACAAACTGCGGAGGTCGGATATTAGTAACCAAATATCCATACATAACATTTCATTCATGCTTCTGTTTCGCAATAAGTCTTATTACTTCGGTATCGTATGCCCAAAGTATCTCTATCTTTTTACATATGGTAAAGGATGGTTGTCCAAAACACAAACAAACTTTTAGGCAGGACTATTACCAAGATCTCCCGGTATGGATATAGTAAGTGGGATAAGTAAGAGTATCATTTGTGGTAGATAGAACTATAGGTTATCCAGGTTGGATTGGATCTCGTACCCGGGGGTTCCGATCGTGCACCGGATATTTATAGGCACACGGAGAAAACCAAATTTTTATGACAACGCAAAAATTACAATTTTCGATTGTCAATAAGAAATAGACGAGATGGGTTGGTGGAACACCTTCGCAGGCATGAAGGTCTAGTCAGAGACATGTTGGAGGCAGAAACGGGAGTTAGGAGGGTAGAGGTAGACCTAGATTAGATTACTGTTCGCAAATAGTTAATGTGGGTTGTTCAAGTTTTAGTGAAATGCGAAGATTAGTTCAGGATAGCAAAAAGTGGAGGTGCGTGTCCAACCAGTCTTAGGACTGATGACCTTATGATAATGAAATGACTGAATTTCCCGAAGAAATAGTAGAATTTATGAGGTAACCTGTAGCAATCTCAATTTTGACATGTTTATTTAAAAATTGTTTCAAGTTTCTTAATTATTACACTTAACTAAATTTGTAATATCAATTGAAATATCTGGTAAATTTATTTCTTCTGGGATTTTATTTTTACAAGTTCGGGTCCAAATTGTAATTTTTATTATTTTTTTAACGGGCTAGTTAATATTTAGGTACATGTTTGTTTTTCATTTTCTACGTGCACCAAAGAAAACAGAAGGAACCAATACCAGCAGTAATAACTTACTAAGTACAACAAAAAACCTGCCTAATGAAAATTGATAATTAATATTGAAGATTGTATTGGGTTAGGTCATTTGCTCTAATGTGTATTTTTTATTGATTACTATACTAAATTATTCGTTATTTCAATACAGTTCTTGAATTTAATTTTACTGTTACAGTTTCTGTCGCTTGCTGGAATATCAGATTTGGATTAACGATAACAGTACGATTTTGTCACCTTGCAGACTTTTAGTGTTTATAAATATTATAGGATCGTTTCCGCGATTTCAAATCAACCCTCTCGTTAAGTAACCGCCAACAGAGAATTAAAATTTCATTTGTTTAATGTATAAACGACTTTTTGGACAGAACTTAATGATTGCTTATGGACGTTGGTGAAGGTAGTATTTAATAGAAAGCCTGCCAGTAACGACGACACGAACCATTAACCGTAGTGGTTTTGCCAGGTCCTCGATTATCCTGTACCAGACGTATCTTTACTACAGATAGGTACTTTAAAATGACCATTGTCCACTTAATTCGAGTTCCACAGGATGATGGGAACATACACGGAGAGAAAAATTACTATGCTCGTCACTATAAAGTGGATGCAAGAAACATGCATTGACAAAATTCAATATTAGTCCAATAATTTTTGTAAGAAAACCTTTTAAACTTTACTAGAAAGCATAGGAATTTTTACTGTACTATCATGGTAATTTTTCCATTGTCAGTCAAGGAGGCACCCACATGGTAATTTTTACAAGATTTTTCTCTTCGTGTAGTTAAAATAGAGTCCAAAATGCAATGGGAATTTTTTACTTAGTATTTTTATAATCAAAATAGGTTAAAGGTAAAAGTTACTGATAGTTCATCACGTGAGCTCTTTATTAAAGAACATAATCTGTAGGAAAACGAGCGTAAATGAGATGTAAATGTAGACTTATGTCTACTTTCAGACAAATTTATTTGCAGCGGCATCTCATATGTTCCAATATTTCTTTTTTATTATGCACTGGTGGCGAGTTGACTATCTAACATAACTCTCCTATTACACGCACTCATCAATGGGCCACATCAGCTTTTGAAAAATAAACCTGGTATAGGAAAATTCGGTACAAATGCCTTCAGTCATCTTTTCATAATTATAAAAAGTTAGTAACGTATGTAATGTAAGCTCAATGAGATATTATTTTAATTTCCGATATTTATTGTCAGCTCAAAATTCCAACGCTTATTTTATTTTTTTAATTAATATATGACAATTCATATCTACAACAATAAATGACAACTCTCATGTTATACATAAAGTAACATATAGTAGATAATCTATTCAAATTTTTGAAAATCTCTTGTTAAAAAATACTTTACTTACAATAGTGCAATTAATAAATGATTGTGACAGTATGATATAAAATTATAGATCCTGTAAGATAAGATTTTATCCAAAATGCATGTTTCTACTACTTATAAAAATATTGACTTATTGATAAGGTATTATAATAAACCGCTTTAAACGTCAACAATTTTCTTATTACAATTTCTCGTCAGATTTCGAACAAATAAAGAACATAAAAATTAGACGTATGCAGTTGATAACTCATCAAATAAATAAAAAATATGCCAGCTTAAGTTTTGACTAGGATATTTCTACAGTTTATACATTGGCGTAGCTTGGGAGTTCTCCTAGGGCGAGCAGCAAGCCAGATGATTAGCAACCGCAACTAGGGTTGCCACCTTTTCAGGCTTTACATAAAGTATTTCTCGACTAAAAGGTTAAAAGAAAAAGTACTCGGCATAAAAATAAAGTATTTTATTTTTTGTTTTTAAAAACATATTTTTTGTTACACCTAGCAGTCAGAAACAAATTGCTGTAGCTCTTAAATACATTAATAGTATCTAAACATGGCAAACAAAGATTTAAGTAAACTAAAAGTTCATTTTTAATTAGTTTTAATGAAGCTTTATTCCTGTCGTCCAGCCACTTTGCGTTCATAATAGAGAATTCTCTTTCTGTAAATGCTGAAGTGGCCGGAACGGACAGCAAAAGTGACACTACTTTGTACATTTAAGCAATTTGGGAAATCAGGTTGTTCCATAAGTATGCTTTGCCATTATTGATATAAAAATACTCCAAATTTCGAATAATCGCTTACAAAATTACGATGTTTACTTAAGGCCTTAAATAAAGTATTTTTGCGTACTTTATGTGTCTCTTAAAGTATAACGTACGCACAGTCGAAATAGAATACTTGTACGAGTGGCAACCCTAACCGCAACGCTTCAATTTCGGTAATATGATTAAAGATTAACCAACTTTTTAGTAATGTTAACAAATTTCGGAAAAAACGAGGCAATTTAATGAGAGATAAAACGCAACTGATGCTAATAAAGAATATTGACTCTCCTCATACAAACCGTGCAGTGTAGTTGAATCTCTGCCAATACAGATAAATTTACAATAAAAAAGTGACCTTTAGTTACACAGTAGTTGATATTTAAAATACATATAAAAAAAGAAGCTACCAAAAAACACCATATTTATTCAATATTGTCGGGGGTGGGCAATGAGTTTTCTAGAATTTCAATTTTTATGACCAGCGTATTATTTGTGGTGTAGGTACTTGAAAGAATTACATTGTTTTAGATTAGTTTAAGAGGGCAATACGAAACGCGACGAAATCGATATGGGAACAACGAAAAGCGAAATCGTCGCCATTAGCGTCATAGCCGTACGTAGCCTAGCATCGACGGAGACACGCGCGACGCCTCGCCGTCACCCTGTCTCGAGGTCATCCCCTTTTCGGTGGTGCACCCGGTCTAGTCTCGTACGACACCGTCCCAGCCGAGTATTTTAGCTCCCAGACAGTATGTTAGAAATATGATATGAGTAATGTCACATGTATTGCCAAAACAACCCCCTCTCCTTTTCGTTACCACCAAATTCAACTAATTAAATCTAATATCAGTAGGTAATTTATAATAAATTAATACGAAACAGGCACGAAATTTCTACGATCAATTAATAAAACTTTCATCCAAAACAAACTTTATCTTTACTTTAAAAACAAACAGAATAGCTCAAAACCCCAACGCCAAAACGAGACACTGTAGTTGTCCGAAGCACTTTTCGGTAACAAAGTTACCTTCTTCAGGGACTGATTAGCAGTAAAAATATTTCTTCAAACATTAATTTTTGATTTAAAAATGTAATTAAATTTCGATTAAGCATAATATACTCATTTTAAATTAACTTTTCCAGAGGTTGTTTATGAAATCGAAAGTAATTAACTTCAGCCTTATTACTATATTTCGCATTTTACCACTGTAACAAAAAATAAAATCATTTTAGCCCCAACTGGACTGTATCTGTACCAGGTATTGGATCTCATCTTCAGACCAATACTGAGTCCGGCTCTGATTCTGACCCTATTCGCTTAACTGTCCTTTACAAGAGTGAAAACCCAGGTAAAGTGCAGGCAATCGCTATTTTTACAAAAATCATATTTTCTCGCCCAACAATAGTCGAAAGTCGATAAAATAAACACCTGATAAATTAAGATCTGACTCACCTATATACTCCATAATGTTTTCCACTGGCTCTATCTCCGCAGATGGAGCACAGGTGTTTGGAACCACTGAGGGGATGATTAGGCGGGTAAGGAGATCCGAGGTTTTTATTACACAAATTACTACCCCCAGACGACGGACTTAAAAGACTATTATGGCCCAAAGAAAACGACCCGGGGCTATTTGGGCCCTGCGGACTAAACTGACCCGACGTTATGAGAGAACCTGTGTCAGGTTTCATCTCTAACGGACTTTGAGGACCCATCGATCCCATTGATAGATTCTGGTCCAAACTAATTCCTGAAAATAAAAGATAGAGTTAGTTATTACCGAATCTTATTAAATATGCACATCCTGTTTTATGTATATATTTATAAAGCGGGTAATTTCATTTTTGAATTTGCATTTTTCTTGAAGAAAAATAATTGACAGCTGAACACTAGTAGTAAAAAAACTAAGAGCACCTGTTTTAGAGGCAGCTGAAAATAAGTAGCTTCGCAAATAAAATTTTCTTTTATGCAAAATAATAGTAAAAACATTCGCATCCAATGCATATGTAACCGGAAATAAATGTAATCTAGGAATTGAATACAATTCCTAGGAAATGTATACAATTCCGAGGCTATTTAGGAAATTTATAAAATATTGTTTCAAAGATTTTTTTAATACACACATACCTTGGGAAATGTATACATTTTCTAGGAATTGTATGAAATATACTAGGAAATGTATAAAACTAATGCTTTCTGAGAATAAAATGAATAAAACACGTTAGTAAACTGAAAATCATAGTTATTATGTTTACGCGATTCTAGTGCGATCGCTTGATATATATGCATTGGTTAGGTAGAGGAATTTGTAGTAATTTAAGTATTTTCCGAAGATGATGATTTCATGTAATAAAATACTCGGTTCTCAAATCGCCTCCACTATACATATATTTATAAGTCGTTTATTTAAAATTGATCAATGTATATACATAGATTTTAAATAAGCTAGAGGCTATTATCATCTCTATAATAACTTCATCTACAAATTAATCACAAAAAAAGGGCAAAAACTGTTTCCTTTAAAAAGTATCTAAATGAAAGTTAAAAATGATCATAAAAAAAACCTAATAAAAATGGGCCTCAAATTAAAATATATTCGAGTTTATATACATATATTTTAATTTGTCTTGAATAAAACACATTATTGCACTTTATTTTATCATTGGCATTTTCAATCTATAATAAACGTAACGTTGTAAACAATATTTTTTTATCAGTTTTGTAAACAATATTGCACTTTAGTTTCTACGTGGGAAAAAACTTATTACCTTATTATAGCGCTCCCTACAATCTACAATACTGCGAGTATTGTTTTCACGACGAAATTAATATTTTGCTATTCTTTCATCATGACCTTAATGGAAAAAGCCTATCAATTTACTTTTTACTTCTTTATACGATTCCTATTTAACTAAGAAAAAAAAATATATAATTTTGGTTAAAGAAATAATAGACGGTTTTTGCTGGGGGACACTTTTTTTTTGAAAGGCTTCTATCTTATCCGCGATAACGAAGCACGTGCCGAGGTTAATCAATAATAACGAAACAGCAAATAGGCAGGCGATCAAGCCAGTTCCTGAAATAACCAGCTCCCAACATAACCTTCGTCTTTCTCTCTTGTTACTTGGTCGTAACCTTGTCCTATTTCCTTCTTTGCTTTTGCGGTTGTACGTTGAAGATCTATCGTATGTTTTATTATCTATTTGTTTGGTCACATACGTACCTACCCTTGAAAATTTAGCTAATTATTTTGTACTTACTAGTCAAACGCATCCAAAATTGTTCATTTGTCATTTTAATTAGGGGCTGTTCAAGTATTACGTAAGCAGATTTTAAGCAATTAATAACCCCCTCAACCTTCGACAGCAAAAGTAAGCAATGTTTTTACCCTCCTCCCGTGTTTACGTAAACATTGGTACATGCATTTTTTAATGTGTTTTAGTTTCTTTATTGATTCATGAACAGCAGTTATAAGTAGCTGAAAATGCGTTTCGTTTTCAACACCAAAATCGACTAAATTTTGTAGAAATAGTAGTAGGAAAATAAAAAATGAAATAGCAAAATATATACCTAAATGCTGTGATTAGGGGTTGTTAAGGTTTTATTACGTTAATAGTTTAATTAATAGAAATTCCTAAAAAACGATATTTGTCTGTCAATATGGCGTACCTTAACATGAATGTCCGAATGGCGGCCTCCGAAATTTCAACCACTAATAGCAATGATTTACACTTGTTCGCTTTATAATTTTGCGATTCATTTACGGCAAAAAAACCTCGAATCCCGAAATTATAGAGCGAACAATTTAGAAATTTTAAGCATCAACACCAAGGAACGTTAAAGAAATTTCAACTTTACACCAAATTCCCCTAAAAATGCGGAATTTACACAGAAAGTGGTTTACTAATGAATAATTCCAGTCCGGGTCATTATTCTGCTTCTAAGCTTAAACTGACTTGTAAAAAATAACGCTTCGGTATTGAAATTGAAGATGCCTTCATTTCCTTTAATAACATTCAGTTATTAGTTGTAGATAGGTAATATAAACAATTTTTTATGCGAACTTAAACTGCAAGGACTTTCCAACGAACGGATTTTCTTAATCTTAAATTTTGCGCAACTCCGTATCGCCACCCTAGATCTTAGGATCAACATGCTTCGCAAAGTTCGTTATCAGCAAAACAAAACGGTAGAACCAATTTGAAAAATTTATGAGAAATATTTCACAAGCTTAATTTAAAAGGAAGTATACAGTCAACAATTATTGAAAATTGAAAAGTTGGAAGCTGGTAGTTTATATATATAAATATATTATATTTTATAATTTCAGATGGGGCTTATATTGTCTCTCCTCATTAATTCTTTGTAATATGTACATATATGTATGCATACAAGTGTAGCAAATATTTATTTAGCTGCACTATTTCTGTAGACATTTCACAATTTCAGATTATGTACCTAAGGTTCCAATCTCGCAACATCCTGGCCATGACGTTTTTGTTTGTTACTGATACATTATGTACTTGTCTTGTCTACATACGCATGCTATAAAATTTACCCTTGAAACAAACTATTTCTCAAAATTCTGGAATTTTAAATAACGGTCTGCAATTAGTTAATTTATTAATTAGGAAAATAATTACCAAAATTTTTAAATTTTCATCAAAATCTTATCACAACTATTGTTAAGAATTTAATTAATTATAATACCAACATAGAATTAAACTCGGTTATAACGCCCTTACTGTCGACAGTGGAACACATAAACACTTGAAATCCCAAAATTCCACACAACATTTTAGTGTTTATTTAGGAGGTTATATACAAAAATCAGTAAATAATGTATTTGTACGAACATTTTACAGTATACTAACATCGTGTTTTTTTTAGGCACGTCACTAAAAGGGGTTGTTACAGGATGCTCAAATATTATAAAATTTGTGTGTCGAATATGCGTTCCGGGAAAGCAGTTAAACAGTTCAGAGAAAAAAAATAAACTACCCGGACGTTTCGAGAAGGTTCCCGAAAGTAAACAAAGAGTATTTAAAAAAATAAATTGACCGTTGCAGAAGTGAATCCAGAAATAAATTGACAGTTATAGCAGTAAAATAAATAGCGCAGTGAATAGTGATATATCAACAGTAGTGTAAATAAATAGAATAATTCATAACCTAAGTTTAGTAATAATTTAATAGTGTTTTTAAATTCTTTAATAATTAGTGTAAATAAATAGTTTTTGTCGTTATCAGTCTTAGAAGTTAATTTTGTTAAACCCACGAACATTACAATATTTTCTTCTTTACTTCTACGTATGAGTGCCCAGATTTCCTATTATATTTCGTAAGCTAAATGTTATTATCATAAAATTGTTTTTTAATTAATTGGCGGAACCTGGGTTAAAATATCACTGTACTTTAGTGGTCCAGGAGAGGATATGGAGCAGTAAATATAAAACTACTGATCGTGCGTTTGATAGATCGTAAAATGTTAAAATAGAATCAGTTTACACAGCCCATTAAACTCTATAATTGCAAAATACCTTTCGCTATAGTCACAGTCAACAAAGGAAATTGATTTTTAAGGAAAATTTACAAAAGCTGTTAAGTATTTTAGGAAACTAAATAATTAAAATTTCAGATAGCGGTTGAAACGAATTTGGACAGATGGGTGCTTATATCGATGAGGCATAACACTTGCACTTTAATCACATTTTGTACATAAATTAACAATGTACATCACAATTTAACCATATTAGTAATCAGTTGGTCATAGTTAAGATCTGGCGACCTGTCACAAATAGTACCGGATGAAGATAGCTGCACCGATTTCTATTACAACATACCAGCGCTAGAAGATTAACTCATTTGAAATTCCATATTTATATATTTCGTTCATCCTTATTTAAACAAACATAAAATAAATTTTTAAAAATAAAGCCCAAAGAAGTGAAAAACAGAAGATTCTGATATAATGTTAATTAATACAATAATGTTGCATTTTAAATTAAACAAATAATCATCACCTCGTAGTAAAACTGGCGGAGTCGCGAGATTAATTAATCAATTGCCTTGACCTTTGCCTCTTTCCTTGATACCAGAATAAACATAATAATCAACGTCCAGCAAAATTAAAATCATGTAAATAGGTAGGTAACACATGCCCATGTCTCACATACTCGCATAAAATTGAAATTCATCGTCAATTATATTATAACACTCAATACTTAATTGTATTAGGTTAATTCATACGCTATAACACACGCAAGAAGTATTAATAGAATGCACACAAAACAAAAAATAACGTTAATGATCGGAATAACTAACAACAATTACATTCTTGTAAAAAATTAATTGCTGTAATAACGCAAACAATTTCTGGTAACAGAAAATTAAATTGCACTTTTCGAAAAAAAAAAAAACATTAAACTGAATCAAAAAGAATACTAAAACACCATACATAATAATAGTCCAAAGCATAACAGAGAGGTTAGTGGTTTTTTTTTCCTAATAATTTCACTATCAAACGTCCAATTCTTCGAATTATTTTGTCTTTGTGAAACTACTACCTCCGTTACTAATTATGTTAATTTTACGAGGGACAACTAGTTAAAAATGCATTTAAAAACAATGACAAAACTCCTGGTATCTGGCATTGTGAAAAAACTTAATGATTCCTGATATTAATTTAAGAAACAAAGCATTTCTAAAAACGAAAGAATAGAACCTAATAAACGGTTTTTGCCGCGATAAT